ATATATACATATATATTATTCATACCTTCGGTGTGTAGGACGCAAGCAGATTTTGACATCAAATTTTGGGGTACAAAAGTGCGTCTTCTACACCGAAAATACGGTATGTTGATACGAAATTAGATTATTTAGAGAATTTTACGAATAAAAACGTAAACAAATGCCCAAATCAAAATGAGTTTACGTAAATTCTGTGAACGAACTACTTTTATTCAACTGAGTAACCTCGTTTACTTACATTATAAATAGTTATATCTATAAAGATATATCTGACGTATTAACACTAAACGAAAACACTACCGTATTCAATAATGATATGTTTATTTTACAGATGCAAAATGGTCTGCGAAAGTTAGTCCTGTGTTAATAGTCTTGAGTGGATTGACTGGAGGACTACTTTTAGTAGTCATCATTGTATTTCTCATTTTGCGATATCGCAACTCAAACGGTGAGCTATTTTTATTTTTATTTTAATATTTATAAGTCCTGAGGGACAGAAATTAGACATGTAAACTTCGTAAAATATTCAAACGATTAATAAAAATATCATCAATATTATTATTTTGAAAACTGCAAAAATGATATTGTTTGTTATTAAAGACACAAAGCTACACTAAAGGCTATCTGTGCTCTACCCACCACGGGTATCGAAACCCGCTTTCTAGTCACTGGGGGGTACGTAAAAATGAATATCGTACTGATGTTAGAAGAAATATAACAAGTTTTGTTCTAAGTGCTATGTTAGAGTTAATTGATCTATTGATTTATACTAATTTCGGTTAACGGTGGCTAAGGGGTACTCTGGAGAGCTTACAACACTAAATATCGAGGTTCGATCCCTACAGTGGGCACAACGAGATAGCCCATTATGCAGCTTTGTGCTTAAATTACAAAAAAAAGAGAAAATACCAACGTTAACGTCAAGAAGTTTCCCGAAATTTTATTTGTATGTTTTACGATACTAAACTGATTATTGAAAAAAAAAGTTTGATTTTTTATAAACGAATGTGTAATTGGTAACAACTGCCTTGTACAGCTTGACACTTGTGAAAGAGAGTCTTGGAGGTGTAATCTGGAAAACTTTTATATTATTATGTTTATATTCTCGACTATTCTCATATAATAAGGTCATTTAAATTATTCGCACTAAAAAATAACAATTTCTATCTGCAGGTGTGAATTAATTAAAATAAAATATTTGTAACACTCTTTTTATAGTAAATATTTCAGCTCTCTAATTTCCGGATGAGTTTGTTTGTTTGTAATTAAGCACAAAGCAACACAATGTGCTATGTGTGCTCTGTCCACCACGGGTATCGAAACCCGGATTCTAGCGTTGTAAGTCCGCAGACATTCCGTTGTGGCACTGGGGGGGGGGGCAATGAAAAAAGAACGACGTTTGAAGCTGTCTTGAACAGAAAAACTAATTTCTTTTTCTAACGTCGTTGTTTTCCATGTGTGCACCTTTTGTAGATAGTCCTTCCAAGACTTTTTCCACAAGAGTCACGTTGTACAAGGCAGCTGCTACCCATTTCATATTTGTTTGTTCTTTATGAAGGCTCTGCTTAAATAATCCATAAAAAAAAAGTTCGATTTTATGCTTAAATTTGATATATTGACAAATTGTTTTGAAGAAAACGACTTTATCGAGTGACTGTAGCTTTAAATCTTTCAAGTATAGATTTATAACAATTGAGCAATTCCAAAGGTACAGACCTATATGACCACCAGATGGTGAAGTGATTTCGTTACAGATTTGACTATTAAAAAATAATATATATGTTTTTTTTTACTTAACACCCAATTTTCTTTTCGAAAACGTTACCAAGATTCACGAAGTATAATTACTCTATAAAAACATAGTAACTTATTTCGATAAAATAACCTTAAAATTACCAAGTATGTGTTTTAAAGGTTATCAAAAGAAAAAAAAAAGAATTATAAGGTGGATTAGAATTTAAATAATGGGGATATTAAATATATTTTTTCCATATACATTCATATAGTAGAAAGAGATAAAAAAAGATTCTGTATTATGAAATCTTTCATTTTTCACTGTTGCAGAATAGAAAGTATTCCCAATTAAAATTTTGTTTACGGATAAAACAAATACTGTTTTTACCTTTTTGTTTTAAACTTTTAGTGCTGACTGAAGAATGGAAACCATTTTCAATAAAAAAACGACAAATAACTTCAGATAATTGTGTGTTCTACTCGACGTTTCGTCTTATGCCCTTTTCAAGGGTCTATGTAAAAGAATGAAGCTTTATATAAGTACTATTGAACAGGTTAGAGTCGCAGGTCATAAAAGGAATTGTTAGAAAAAAATAAGAAGAATCTAACCTATATATAAAAGACAGTGTGTGTCACGTCACGCTTGATTTCTCGAAATAGAAGGAGTCATAAAAGCCAAAGTGTGTTTATACAGATAGAATAGTTCGATTACTGTCTGCCCATTACGATTTTAGTAATGGGTACAAGAGGGCCGTGAGGGGTGGTGCTGTGAAACCTTATAAGTGTAGTGAGTGTTGGTATAATAAGTCTAAAGTAAAGACGTAGCTTGGGATCACCTAGCCTAGAGTTAAGCGCATAAAATTTATTATGAAAGTAAAAATATCGATTCAATTTTAAACTTAAATCGATTTTGACTTAAGCTATTTTCTGTTATATCATAAACGTTTTAAATAAAAAAAACCAAACCTCTAATCAACAGAGACTCTAAATTAAGAAATCAATAAAAAATTTACCGTTTTGTTGTCTATACATTTATTTTATACTTTCAGTACATAGACTAACAACAATATTAGGTTATACTTTTGTTGGTAAGCAACATGACATAAAAGCCATTGTTGGAACGTAGTGTTCCGAAACGCACTGGCTTTTCTATATGTTAGAAGTTGTTAACCTAACTGTTTTTTCGAATAATTATTCTATGAATACTGAACGAATTCATTTCTTAAATGATCTTAATTTTGATTGGATCGCAAAGGAATTTACCGACGTTTGACTGCACTTTTCTACGTCTTTGTTGGTCAGGCTTGATTTCGCAAAATTTATTTATTTCAGTTAGCTATGAAGTGTGAAGTTAGGGTATACTATGGGATGGTGGTGGGGTGGTAATACTTACCTCCTACTTTTTAGCTACACGATAGTAGTATTATAAGGGCTAGGTATCTATTAATGGAAGGACATTTTTAGCTACACGATAGTAGTATTATAAGGGCTAGGTATCTATTAATGGAAGGGCATTTTTAGCTACACGATAGTAGTATTATAAGGGCTAGGTATCTATTAATGGAAGGACATTTTTAGCTACACGATAGTAGTATTATAAGGGCTAGGTATCTATTAATGGAAGGGCATTTTAATTCATCAAAGAGATTTATTCTTTAAATTTTCTGTCAAGAAAGTTGTCACAAATACATGATCGTTTCAACGAACATATTTGTGCCACTATAAATCTTGACAACAAAGAAGCCACTGCTGAACATTACATCAACGTACACGACATAATTAACGAGACACCGTATCCAATCAAAATTTTAGAGATATGTGACAACGTTCTTCACAGAAACTTTAAATAATCTCTTTTGATTCAATCCAAACGAGCTTCTAATAACAAATACAGTGCCTGACCCTTATAACACTATTATTTATTTTATTTTTGTTAACGTTAACTTTTATGATCATTCAACAATACTTGTAGCCCGTTTCACTATATACTGTTTTATTATATTGTTATAAATTTACATTATTTTTGGTTAGTATAATTTAAAATCAGTTTTGTAACCTGTGATGTTCATAGACCCTTGAAAAATGTGTAAGCCGAAACGTCGAGTAGAATAAACATATGTTTTAGTTTTAAAAACACTACGTTTCGCTAGGTTTTCCTAGCATCATCTGGTAGGTAGAATTGAATAATGGAACAAAATCGTTACGTGTTGTAGTATCCATCAATTAGTTGTATTTACCTGAGGATGCCGGGTATATCCAGCGAAACGTACTGTTTATTTAAAACTAAGTTTTTAAAAAAAAAACATAATAACTATTATATCGATAAACAGAAGTTTAATTTTCATGTCGCAGGTCTTTCCTTTAATTTAATAAGGCATATAATTTAAACAAATTATATCTAACGAGAGTTACTTGTATTATTATTTTTTTGTAATTCAGAACCGTCGACATTATCCACAAACCTCAGTTTGCAATGTGATTCGATAGAACCTGTACGTACAAAGAACTATATATGTTTCTGCTATTGTCCTACTACAAAATCTGTTTCGATTTATAAAGAATCATTAATATGGTGAAAAATATTTAGTAGTATACAAGATGATCATTGATATAAATTGTGTTTCGTAATATTCTTGTCCACTTCTTTTAAAACTGACATCTTTGACTTATATTAAAGAACGTCTACACTGTAAAAGTCAATGCCCTTTATTAAAAATGATATTACAGTACGTAAGGATGTGTATGGATTGTTTTAATAATGGAAGCCCTTCTTCTACGCTAATAACTGAAGCCAGGCAGTTTGTAATGATTATTTAATGAGTCAGAATCATGTTAAAGTTATTTATGCTCCAAGTTACGAGTACGTTAAAGGTGGACCATTAAATTATTTACTCATGATGATCTGAAATAGTAACATAACCGCTTAATCGATCGGATTGTAATGTTGCTTCAGTAGAAGAAGCTTCGTTTTTCTGTGGGAAAACGAACAGTTAATTAATAATGTTTGTATGTGAAAGAATAAAAAGGCTTTCAAAGCGTGCACTTTGCGGAATACACTTGTCAGACTAAGACACATTTAATTTTGACTCTTAAACAAACCTTTTTAAAACACAGTCCAACTTGTACCTTATAATCTCGTTAAGATATCACGTAACCAAAAATGATATATCTGAACCAACTATTCACTTGATCTCCTGAATACAGTGGAACAAAATTGATAAATGATATTATATTCGTATTCATTCGTATTAGCGTGATGTATAGCTAATGCAGTAACTTGATTAAAATTTTACTTTAAATATTCAACTCACGTTTGTAGAAATGAAATGCTCATATTATAATTATTAAGTATGTTCCTGTTAATTTCTTCTCAAATTATGGTGTATTTTTGAATAATAATAAAGTTGAATTAAATTTCACGAGTGTTTTTGCTGTGGACAGAAACACCAACATAATGTTTTATAAAAATTAGATAAGATATCGATAGATATTCAACAATTATAGTATTTTGGCACTTTTGTATAAAGTTAAAATCATAAATA